TTAAATGCGACATGAGCATTTTTGAGCCATGAGCAATTATTGAGCCAGAAATCCAATATCTACACGTCTTTATATGTCTTTGTCCTATAACATCCTCAGGAGACCTCCCTTAACAATAACTGCTCAAAAATGACTCACATATCGACGTGCAAACCAATCATTTGCAAAGATAACAGGACAGGAATCATTGGCTCTGACCAGTCATTTTTCACCACCTTGGAATAGGCTTCACTTCCGCTGAAGCACATGATCCCCCAAAATAATGCCTAAATAAAACTGAACTTCTGTTAAAGCATGAGGAAGGAGAAATGGCCAACTAATGGTATCTACTACACTCAGATAAAGTGAGTACATAAAATCCAAGGAGACTTCACTTAAATTAACTCAGTGGTACAAACAGAATAATTTAAAACTTATCTTCACCTAAATTTCAGATAATTATATTATTTTCCACTCAGTATAGTGTAAATGTGAACTGAAACTATATTAGGTATTTTGTCCATCTAGATTTAATTATAACATATGTTTTTATTTATTCACTTTATTGGGGGGAGGGGTCTAGTTTACTAGAATGTGTCTTCTATAAGGGAAGAGAGAGTCTATTTTGTCTGCTTCCATATTTTCAGTACAGGGTAAGAACATAGTATATATTTTCTTTAAAAAATGAACTAAGAACAAGTTTTTAAGTGTGTTAGGTATGCCACTTCAGAGCAGATATACAACTGTTTTTACTATATTATTACTTATATTGGATATTTCATTTCTACAATGGTTTTATTGTGTCACTTTACCTGTAGCATATTTTAAAAATAATGCCCCAAATTCACTACTCATCTTATAAGCTAGTATAGCCTTATTCATTGCTATTTCAAAGTCTTCTCTTACTTTGTCAATCCTATTCTATGTAACAATTCTTCTTTCCCTTCTTACACAAAGTACATATTTACATTTAACTTTTATCATTCTGCATTATGTCATGGACCAAAACAAACAAACAAACAAACAAAAAAACCCCAGAAGCTTGCTAGCATAGTAGATGATCTACCATTATCTAATATTGTATAGCAATTGGTAGAAACACCTCTTTCACAATCATGGGCTACTTCCCATTTTTAAAATCATCTTTCCTTCCTTCAAACACCACAGATGAGCTGGCCCTGATTCAGTGCTGTTTCTATTAATATTTTTGTTGCTCTAAGTATAAAATGAGAAGAACTGCTTAACTCATGCTCTGATTAAATTCTGGAAAGGAGAAGATTCCAGGCTTCAAGGCTAAAGGCAGCAAATGGAATTGTTAAACACTAAGGATTTATTACTCCCGTCCCCTCCTAAATCCCTTGCCTCCTATCACTCAAATATGCTCTGCACTTTGCTTCTTCTGGGTTTTGGCTTACTTAGTTTGTTTCGTCTACTTAGACTGTCTTCCTCATATAGGTTTCACTTTGGAAAAAAAAAAAAAAATCTAACCACCCTTCAGTGCTAGTCTTAAATTCTTCATCCTCCAGAAAACCTTTATGTTCATTCACCAACTGAAATGTTTTCTTCCTTTGAATCCACATGACAATTTGTGCTCTCCTACTTGACTTTATTATTATAGCATACGCTTACATCAACACATTACTAAACTTTTTTTCTCTCTCTGTCTCTCTCTCTCCCCCTCTCTCTCTGCCTCTCTCTCTCCCTTCTTTCTCTGACTCTTGTATAAAGTGCCTAGTATATTATATTGCATGAAGTTGGTTTCCTAGAAAGGACCCCTTTCCCTAGTCTGAATAACCCTCTGATTGTTTGAAGGGGGAGGGTTCCTTAGAGTTCTCAGTAGTCTGGAGACACAATCACTCCCATCACTGTATACCTCATCACAAGAAGTCCATGCATACTGTCCAGGGCATATCTCCCAACCCAGATGCTTCTTTCAATGCAATGTCTTTACACACCTTATCAAGACTCAGTATCTCACTGGACTTTTACCCTACTACCAAACTTTCCTCAGAATTCCTTGGAAATCACAGTCCATCATCAACAAAATCCCCTAAATATTCAACTTTCCCTCTTAGTGTTACCTATACTTTTTGATTCCTTCTTTCTCCCTATACCCCTCCTTGACAAAAGACGCTGCTTTCTGTAGATTCCCCAGTAGTGACTTCCATAATTTACATAGCACAGAGCATAGGAGTACAGAGCAAGCATCCTGCTGACTCCTTTGACACTCAGTCCCAATTCCTCCAAAGTGAATGACATCAGATAATACCACCCATTACATTTCCTTGTTATAGTCATCACATGCCTTTTGAGTAATCTCCTTTATTAGCGGACTAGTTTAACATTTGGCTTACCTTTTTTTCCTACATCACACTATAGGATTAGTAGTATAACTGGTGATGTAAAAATCCACAATGACATTCTAATCACAGTAGCATTTGACAGTCAATGATTCTCTTTTATCAATCTTGTTCTTTCCATGGTTCAGGGGCCTTGTATTTTCCCCGTATTCCTGCCACCTCATGGCAGCAACATCTCAGTATCCCCACACCCTTCTTCTCCTGATCTGTAAGTGCTGAAGTTCCCAAAGCTTAGTCTTTGTATTTTTTTGTCAAACCCATTTTCTGGGTGATTTCATCTTGACCCCTTTTTTTGCTCTCAAGTCTAGGTCAGCATTTGCAACCGCCTTGCCAAGAATTAGGTTTTCGTACTGAAAAAGCCTCATGAACCTTGATTACTGCCATCACAATAGGCAGTGGAGGAGATATGGGGATCTGTTCAGGACAAAAACCACCAAGTCATTCTTGATTTTTCCTAATGTCCCCTGAATAATTCATCAGCAAATCCTATATGTTCTATATTTTAACCCCCTTCTCAAGGTCTTCATAGCCTATCAACATTATTCAACCTACTGTCAAATTTTGCCTGGACTTGTCATGCATTTAACTCTACTTGTCCAAAACACTGTGTTACCCATTCCCGACATCCTCCCTGCACAGCATTGACAATAATCTTTTTATATTGGATTATGTCATAACTGTTTAAATCATTCAAAAGCTTTCTTTCCAACACACCTAGAACAAATCCCATATTCTAGCCCCAGGTACATTTCTGATCTCATTTCCTATCAGACTTTTTCATTCACACTAGCCTCCAGCTCCCTGTCTGCCTTTAGGGCTTTACAAAGTAATCCCAGAATGCTGCTCACTTAAGAATCCACAAGTCTTGATCTTTTCCTTTATTCAGGTCACTGTTTCAGTTTTATCCCAAAAGAACTATCTTGACTTTATTATCTAAAATAGCACCACTCTCATTCTTCCCTTGTCAACCTTTTTTTTCCCCTTAGAATTTATCACTACATAACTGACTGATTTATTCATTTCTTCAACTAGTTTGCCTGCATTACTCAGGTGGAAACTTTGATTGTTTGTTTGTTTGCTTTTTCAATTGCTCTAGATCCAACTTCTAGAACAGTGTTTAGCACATTATAGGTACTCAAACATATTTGACTAAATGATAGAACTAAATCAATTAAGAGTTAATAAGACTAAAATACAAAATGAGATAAAAATCAGCTACAAAGGATGCTTACTTGTGGTTAACAACATAAATTAAATATAATGAGTGACAGATTTGTGGACTACTTTTAGTTAAACTGCTGATTCAGATCAGGGGTCCGTACTTGGCATAGTGGAAGAGCTATTTTGCAAGCCCAACACAATTAGGTTGAATTTTTTTCTTACTGAGAGTGTTTGATAGGTGATAAAACTACACGTAAGAAGAGCTCTAATCATGATGCTCCTGGTAATAGGAAAATAAAGGCAATTATTCATGTGCAAAACTAGAGGCAATCAAAAGCTAGATTTGCCAGAGATGTTTAGGTTTTATGTGCAATTTACAGCTATTTACAAGTTAACCATTGAAATGCTGTCCAAAATTAACTCTGCAATTGAGAATCCAAAATGTTTAGCATCTAAACTTTTTCCTCAGTAAAATGCAATCTTTAAAATTTTTTCTAAATAATAAAACATTAGTAACACACAGTTGATTAGAAATAGTCATAAACATTTGATTATAAACAATTATAGTCATTAGTGATAATCATTTGATGATAAATAAAGAAAAAAATTGAAAATTTACAACTTTGGTCTTAGATACTGCATTTTTGAAATTCCAAACAAGCCAACATTTTCTGAGACATCAAGATCTTTGTAACTTTTAGTAAAGTACTAAAATTGGTAGAGTTATTTTTTTACTTTCACTCAATCAGTATTTAAAATTCAAACATTTATTTCAGAAAAAAAAATCGTTACTTAATTTATTGCACTATTTCTTTTTTTTTTTTTTTTTTTTTTTTTTTGGATGGAGTCTCGCTCTGTCGCCCAGGCTGGAGTGCAGTGGCCGGATCTTGGCTCACTGCAAGCTCCGCCTCCCAGGTTCACGCCATTCTCCTGCCTCAGCCTCCCTAGCAGCTGGGACTACAGGCGCCCGCCACCTCGCCCGGCTAGTTTTTTTGTATTTTTTTTTTTAGTAGAGACGGGGTTTCACCGGGTTAGCCAGGATGGTCTCGATCTCCTGACCTCGTGATCCGCCCGTCTCGGCCTCCCAAAGTGCTGGGATTACAGGCTTGAGCCACCGTGCCCGGCCTATTTCTTCTACTAGAAGTGGTAATTTAATATTTGTCATTAGAGATTCCATTTTGAGAATCCTTTGAGTTATCCTACTGGAGGAATACAAACCACTAAGAAAATATATACATTTCAACATCTTATTCAATGTAAAACATCATAAATATTTTGTTACTATTTTCATAGTAAAATAAAACTCAAAAAGTTGCTAAGTGCTTACCTGATATAATCTGTATTGAGTTTAGATAACTAAACTAATATAGCTCCAAGTTTCAGGCTTTTGTTTATATAGCGTAAGTATGCAGTTAATGCCAACTATAGGGTTAAAGCTTATCTGCAAAACCCAAGCTTTCCTTTTATTTTAGTTCTATATATTAACACAATTTCTCATACCTTCACTCTGAGTACAGAAGTAAACATTCTTGCATCTTCAGATACACCTCCGATGTAGAATTTTTTCTGAAACACTGGGGGATGATTATTTTCATCCTGAATCTCAATGTATACTTTAGCTGTATTGCCTGGAGGACAAGAAATGATGCATTTTTTACTGGTGGTTATTCATGGGGGGAAAAAAGCACCGAAGTAAATACTTGCTGCACTTTTTCTGGGAAACACTGAAAATAAATCAAAAGCCATTTCTAGATGGCATGCCTAGTACCCCCAAATTCAGGGGGACCCTGATAATGATGCTTCTGGTATAAAAATGTTAAGTTGCTGTTATTTCTTTTAATTACAATGTCCTGGTAATTCATTTTACTTGATTTAATTTGGCGCTAAAACATTTCACCCTGCCAATTTTAATGAAACAATTCAACTGTTCTTGTTCACAAACACTTCACACACAATACCAGTTATACCAATGGGACACAAATATGTAAACCCTTTATGAAATAATAGAAACTGCCATAAACTATTATATGAATATATATTTATTTATTCTTAAGTATAAAATCAGAAATGGCATTTCTTTAGCTTAAAATTGTACTATAGCATTTTTATTTTAAGACTAAAAGTAACAGTATTTGGGTGAGGTGTTTATTTCCAAATGGAAAACAAGTTTTATCATGCCTTGGAAACTGTCATTGCTAGAGGCTAACATTCACTGAAAACAATGTAGCTGAAGATAACATTATGACTCATAAATGCTTCATTTTGCCATTTAAATAACAGTAAATGTACCATAAATGATACATGTCATCATCAAATGTTAGAACCTCCCTCAAATCATTACACCTTTAATGAGAAATGTGGTACTTGTCACTAGTCCAAAAATGACCTTTTAAAAAACAATTTAATGTATAAAATTAACTTATAAACCAAATAAAATGGGAAATAAGTGGCTATTTATTTCATAAAAAAATAAAGTCAGATAAGTATTGCTAATGTATTACCTAAGTCAACTTTTCTGATGCATTTCAGTTATGATCAAATATATGGCAAGTAATGTACATACTATTTATCAAGGATGTCCTTATTTTGGTGTTTAACCTGTGTTTAATGTCTCCTGTACAATTTTAACTAATTAACCCCAGTGTAATTGCAGGATACATCATGGGTATACATTTGTATTGGTTGAATAAACTAATGAATGAATAGCTTGTATTAGTAAGAACTTAGAAATAGTCTGGTTTTGTTTGTTTGTTTGTTTGTTTTTTTGGTTGCCCTGGAAAAGGTCAGAGAGAACAGGGAGTTAACCCTATGATTTTGCTCCTATCCTGCTGATACTCATTCAGTTTTTCTCTATTTGTCATCTGTGACCTGGAAGAGGTAGAATCAAGAGGAAAACCGTGCTAGCTCAACAGAGAAGAGAACCCAGCAGGGATGTAGGGCTAATAGCAGATTATGCTTCTCTATCCTGCAGTGCCAGGGCTCTGACTTGTACCCTAGTCAGTCAATCAGAATTCATCCAAAATGAAATCATATTTAGTTTAGTAGCAGACCAATTTTATCTCTAGAATAAAAAATGCTAACAGCTCTAAATTTAAAAATAAAAGAGGAATTTTAGAATATATCACCTCTCCAATCACTTATTTCCTCTTTCATTCAGAAACATGTACAATTCACATGTGCTATTTCTTTTCAGAACTCTTAGAATTACAGAAGTCTCAGAAAAATACTGATGATGTATATTTTCTTCTTTAAATGGGATGAGTCATTTAAAATGTTATACAATTTTCAAAGAACAAGAACTTTGTCATGATCTCTTCCCTTACCTCCCAGCCCTAACTTCATATCTGGATGGCAACCAAATCCTACACGTCAACCTTATAAGCAGGTAAATTAATGCATAATAAATATATCTTGTGTCATTTTTCTCTCAGCTCCACAGCTGCCCATATACTTAAGTCTGTTGTTGTCTCACCTGAGTGATTAAACATCATCTGCTCCCCTGTCATGTCTTTCTAATGTGTCCTGCATTCTGATATAACAAAGACATTACAAAATATACAAATGGGATACATTAAATCAAATGTTAACCCAACAACCACCATTCATATGTACTTTTTTTTTTTTTTAAATGGAGTCTGGCTCTGATGCCCAGGCTGGAGTGCAGTGGCACAATTTCGGCTCACTGCAAGCTCCACCTCCTGGGTTCACACCATTCTCCTGCCTCCATCTCCCCAGTAGCTGGGACTATAGGCACCCACCACCACACTCAGCTATTTTTTTGTATTTTTAGTAGGGACGGGGTTTCACCACGTTAGCCAGGATGGTTTCCATCTCCTGATCTCGTGATCTGCCAGCCTCGGCCTCCCAAAGTGCTGGGATTACAGGTGTGAGCCACCGCTCCCAGTCTCATATGCACATTTAACAGAGACATTACAAAATACAGATAGGATACATTGAAGCAAATCTTAAACCAACCACCCATTTATATGTACATTCTATCATTGAATTGTTTCTTTAAACATTCATTATAACTTTTGAGGGACTGCCATGTGTTAGCTACTCTGGTTACCACTATGTGAGATAAAATATAAAATATATAATCTTCAAAACATAAACAATTTACATCAAACCATTTAGCATAAAATATAAGGCTCTTAATAATCTAACATGGTTATTTGGTTTTATTTTACTCTTCTCTCCATTTTATTATCATTGACAGATATTGCGAGCAATTTTGTGGCTGTAACTGTGTGTGTACATACACAATCCCAAACCCCTCACAGACACACACACACACACACACACACGCATGTATGCACGCAAACCTACAAACTTTACGAAGTCTTGAAGAATAAAGAAGGGTATTATAAAATATATGGACTCTATTACAGGTAGAACTTTAAGAAACTCATGATTTTGAGTTATCAGATTACTCATTTTTTTTCAAACAATACTACACTAATCCATTTTTTAATTGACAAATACATTTTAATACGTAGTGAATTTTTCACCATATCCTTACAAAGTCTATGACTAGGGAAGTAACTTGGTGGTATAGTCTACAGAAGAATAACTTTATTTGGCCCTGGTTTACTGAAAGCTAAGGGGCTTTGTTTTGTAAGTCAGGTGTTTATTTAGGTGTGTTCATATGTCTGATTAATAAGTACTAACAATTCTTTTTTTTTTTTTTTTTCCGAGATGGAGTTTGACTCCTGTTGCCCAGGTTAGAATGCAATGGCGCAACCTAGGCTCACCACAACCTCTGCCTCCTGGGTTCAAGCGATTCTCCTGCCTCAGCCTCCTGAGCAGCTGTGACTACAGGCATGTGCCACCATGGCCGGCTAATTTTTTGTGTTTTTTCAGTAGAGATGGGATTTTTCCATGTTGGTGAGGCTGGTCTCGAACTCCTGACCTCAGGTAATTCGCCCACATGGTCTCCCAAAGTTCTGGGAATACAGGCGTGAGCCACCATGCCTGGCCAACAATTCTTAAAAAGATCATGTGTATATTCATATACATACTTACATGTACACTTTGTGCATATAAGTTTAAGATTCAAATACCAAATTGTTCCTATGAAAGCTCCTTTGATTCAGTGGCCCGTATCAGTTATTGAGTGGTTTGTGGGAAAATGGTCTATGGATAACCCAAAATATGATTATATAACCTGAACATAATGGGGAGAGATGATTATACTTAATTATAATATTTTAATTAAATGATACTTATTTATAAGAAAATTTATGACTATACAATACTAAATTCCAGAATACTTCACAACCAGCACACAAACAAAAACTCAAAAACATTGTTTAGACTTAAAAAGAACTTACACATTTATTTATTTATTTTAAAAAGCCACGATCATTTAGTTCTTTTCACAAAATAGAAACAGCTATAATGTGATTTATAACAACACTGTATCATGAATTTCGAAATTTATGATGTTTGCTATATATCTAATTAGGTAGGAGAGTTTGTAATAGTCAACCAAAAATCAATACAAAATTGTGAAAAAGGTGTTTTCATTAAGTTTGTGGCTTAGAATAAAATTGTTAATTTTTATTTTCTATAATGTAAAATATACTAGTCTTCTTTTTTTTTTCCTTCTCCTTGATAATTTTAGGTAGTTGTCAGGTATTCCTCCTTTGAAATGCTATAGTGTATTAAAAATGTTTCTTTGTATAAATAATCTTTCCAGAGCTTAGTTTACATTGCATTTAGTTATAAGCATGATTTTATTCTTATTAGATTTCAATATTCTTAAAGATGGAAATTGTATCTCCTACATCTATTAGTACTATAATGCTTCAGTTTGTAGATAGTTTTTCCCCCCTCAGATATTATTCTAACAGAATTTCTTAATTTTTGCTGAACAAAAAAGTTGATATTCAATTAATTTGTTAATTTTCATTGATTATAATCATGAGATTATGATTAACTGAAACAAAAAGTTAACTCTTAGAAGGATATGAGGGCGTTCACTAAATCAAAGTGAAGTCCAAAGAAGGCTTTTGGTACCACAAAACAATCAGGAAGTTGCAGAGTCTTTAATGTTTGATTTTCTTGCAGGTAACTACAGATGAAATAACAGCAAACTCTGTTCTTCTATGTTCTTTTACCCTACTTCTTCCTTTTTTTTTTTTTTAAACAAACAAAAAAACAACCCACTAGGCTTAAGAATCATACCCTGGGGACACATTACCTGACTTTCCTAATTTGGCTCATGTGCTTGATCCTTGTCTCAGGGAGGAAAAGTCACCAGATCATCCACTTGAGAAATCATTGGGATAATTACAAGAAATTGTAGTGTTTCTACTTAAAGAATGTAAAATAAATGTTGGCCAGTAAAAAAAGTAAAAGCAAATAAATGTACACCTATAGTTAAATCACTAGAACAGCATTTTTTTTGATTTTTTAATTCATGTATACACAATGTACATGACATCATCGATTTCCTTAGCTCACATGCTTCCCCACTGAGGACTGTACCATGTTCTTCCACCACATTTGGATATTGATTATTTCAAGGTAGAAACTTGGAAGCAACTCTGATTTAAATTATTTTAAGATAGGCTGTTTTTTATCTCCTTGAGTATATACAAAAACTTTTTTTCCATGTCGTATC